GTACACTTCACCCTCTGGCCTCGTTCCTTGCATGAGACATGTACGCTCGACATAGTCTATGATCGTGCCCACCGGATGGGTTAGGGACACTGGGCTCGCATTAGAAATCTGCCTTGGACCATAGTAGAAATCTTTTTTGTTTTTCTTTTGTTTTTTGTGGTGAGGGGTAGACCCCTCCCTCCAAGGTTCCGATGACTCGTCCTTTTTCTTTTGCACCTCTCGGATCTCCGCATCGGCGTATCGATCGGCTCTTTGAAGGGCCACCTGGTACGACCTTGGCGGGTCTCGAATGAGACTTAAGGCGAACTCCATAGCCCGTAACGCTGCCTGGAACATGGCAAGGCGTTTTTGGTCGTCTGCCCCATGCACGGCAGCAGACTCCTTCCTCCATCGTATCACAAAATCTTTCAAGTCCTCGCTCTTCTTCTGCTTCACGGTCAGGAGATGCGAGTAGTGTTGCTATGTTCTTTTGCTAGCAGCAAAATGTTGAAGAAACCTTTACGCTAAGTCCTCCCACTCATCGATCGAGCCATGGGGGAGAGAATTGAACCACTCACACGCAGTTCCCTCCAACGTAGCTAGGAAACATCGGCAAATTATTTCCTCTGATGCCCCAATCATAATCATATTAACATAATAGCATGGGGATCTGAGGTTCCCGAATAGGCCTTGACATGGGACGCCTTGAAGCCAATTGGTAACCGGTACGTCATGATCCGTGTGGTGAATGGGGTCACCGTCTTCAGTTTAGCGTACGTGTGTCCATCTCCTGCATCTACTCGTCGCTGCAGGTCCTCAATTTTTCTCCATAGCTTCCTCACCTCCACATCATTCAAATCATTCCCGGTTCTGTCTGTGTGAATCATCACACGTTTCCTGCCACCGTCCTCTACCTCTGTGTTCCTCGGTTTTTGTGAGCGTATTTCAGTCCCACACACATGCTCACTCATGTGTCCAAGTGAATGGTGACTGGCAGTCATATGGGCGACTTTGGGAACTTGCTCGCGCTCCTCTTCGCCGTGGTCGCGTCGTCCACGGTGGTTTTGTGTATCCCTTTCTTTCTCAACATGGTGTGATCGTCCGAGACAGTCCTTAGCAGAGCGTCTTCAGTCTTCCAGCCTGCTGAACACCGAGGTTTCACTTCGAGCTGGTTGGTTCGAAGGGACTCGGATTCCTCGTTCCTCTCTTTTCTCTCCATTTTTTTGGGATGGCCCTGGTGATGTCACCTCCATCTCCACCACCGGATAATTAGTTGGAAATTGAGTTCCATGTGGTTGAGGAGGCTTTTGAGCGCCAGGAATTGCACGGCGTACGTCCTTCGCAATAGTACCCACCATCCTGGTCATCCCTAGGATGGCACCATGGACATCAGGCAGTTCTACGGGAACCACCGCAGGGTGACTGAGTCGGTTACGAAGGTCCTGACCCGATGAGTTGGACGCAGTGTGTCCCTCGGCAGGTACATCTTTCTCAGCCCTGGTAGTAGCCATTGTTACAGCTTCTGAAATTGCCTGAGTGTATCTTCAGCTCTCAATGAAAGCACCAAAATGATGGAAGTAAATCCACCGGAAAATAATTAATAGATAGCCGAAAATAATTAAAGCACTCAGAATAATACTTAGAGAGATAATTGTATGTATTGTATTCAATGTATTCAGCCTGATCGTTCTTCCAAGAGTTACATGAATTTATAATACAAAATTGAGACAAGAAATATTCGGACGATGTGGTCGCCATGCCTGAACTGATGTGCCACCATCCTCTGATTTGTAGGACTGATTGCGAGTTGACCCGTGATCTTCGAGATTCGTTGTTGGTCACGTAGCTTTTGGGAAGTAGCATCATGCATGTGCAATGGTCTTGAGCGCTTGTGCACCACGCGCGTTGAGGCTCACCATGTGATGCTCAACAGGCCATATTCAAATCCCAAGGTAGAGGTAAGAGTGTGTTGTGCACATCATGTCACGTCTAAGCCTCATTGTAAAGATAAGATCACATCATGCTCAGCGTGTCATATATCTTTGTAAATGTGACTCCATGTTTCTCATCCCGAGTATGCTGACCATGTATTTCCTTGGGCCTGATATTCTTGTTCGTCTCGTCCATCTCATTTACGGGCTCAGCCCGCATTCAATCGGGCTTATCATATTGGGCTGGTATTTATGTCATCAGGTGGTATTCTTTTTTATTTTAATTTGAGTAGTTGTGGCTTTGTTGTTCGATGCTTTGGCTGGGATTGAGACATATGGTTGTTTTTTGTTGTGATAGGTGCTAGTTGGGGATATATAAGTGATGGATTGGGAAAAGGGGCAAAAACACCCTTGAAGTTGCCAGCAAGGGATATCTACACCCATAAACTTAATTTTTGAGCAAAAAACTTTTATAAACTTGAAGAGAGGGCAAAACCCCCTTTTAACTAACGGAGTCAAGTTAACAGAACATGCAACCCTTCATTTGGTCAGTTGGCTAACTCGCTTATATAGGGGCGCCGTATATAAAGCAAATACAGGGTGTGTACTATGTTTAATACGTAGTATTATTTGTTTTAAATTTTAGCTTGTGCTATATTCTAAGAAAAAAGAGATGCCAAGAACCCCCGGAAGATTTTGGTCCTCAAATCATTACATGTGCTCACCCCAAAAAATATTTATTTTAGTTTAATACTCGTATGATGTTGCAAGTTCTAACAAATGGTGCAATTTATATGAGTATTAATTTTAGAATTGATGGAGTATATGGGTCTGAGCCTCCGGACCCACATACTCAGAAGAACAGAAAGCACAAGACACTGAGTGGCGCCCTCGTCGGCCAAGGGACCCCCGTCGGCCAAAAAGGTGCCAACTCAGATTATGGTCCTGAGCCCAAGGAACCCGGGTGCCCTCGTCGGCCGTGCCCCCGTCGGCCGTGCCCTCGTCGGCCACGCCCTCGTCGGCCACGAAGACCTCACAAAACCGAATTTTACACTTACTTATTTGTACAGCCCATTAGTGGCTTTGTATTCGGCCCAGTAGCGGTCCAGTTGTAAATGGGCCTCCCAAGCCCAAGGCTTGGGAGCCCAGCCCGTATTTTCTCTATAAATACTCCCATTGGGAGTAGTTATAGGGGTGACAAATTCATTCTATTGAAGCATATTATTGCACTTCTCTCTCTAGCTCTCACTTCTCTCTAGATATACTCTATCATTTGGTGCTTTCATTGAGAGCCAGAACAATCAAGTTAGCACCCTTCGTCGCTACCAAGCGCGGCTAACCACTGATCATGGGAAGAACTAAGTCAAACCGCAACCTCGTCAGCAAGGCCATCCCTGAGGACCAAGAGCCCAGGGAGCACGATGAGGACGCCACGGCCGACCAGGTCGGCGGAGGGGACCTCTTCCAGGAGGCCTTCAACCTCACGACGGACCTCCGCAACCAACTCAACGGTGGAGCCCCTGATGCCCGCCTCGGCTTGGACAAGAAACGAGCTGAGAAGATGGATCACGCCCCGGCCCAGCCTACGGCCGCGGCCTCTCCGTACGTGGATCCACAGGTCCAGGCCGCGCTGTCGGCCATCATCGCCAGCCTGGCTCAGAACCCCACCGTCCTCAGCGCACTCTTGCCAAGGACCGGGGGAAACGTCACTCAACCTCCTCAGCCCCAACCGTTGGCCGTCCAGATAGGCAACGATGAGGGGGTAGTGGCCCAGGACACGGCGTCGTCCCACTCCCACCCCGCTCCCCCTCTTCGGCCCGGGCAGACCCCAGCGCGTGGAAAAGCCTCTGCCTTCAACAGGCTAGGCGACACGCGCCATCGTCCGGTTTCGGAGAGGATGGCAGGACGGATTGGTTTCGGTTAATTAAGCATCAATTTACATTTATTGTGCAACAGACCTATTCTATTGAGTATCAAGAGTCCACTCCATATCTTCTAACTCGGTTTCTTTTCATTTTTTTGTCTTTTATAAAAATTTCTTAAATCATATCTATAATTAACTATTACGAATTCCGATATGAGAATCTACTTTAATATTAAACTTTTGAAATATGCATTGATATGAAAATCACAAGCTCTACTTGTTGAGCACCGAAACATTTTCATTGAACATCAAGCCTCATCTATTGAGGACTAGAACTCTCTGATTAAGCATCAAAACATCTTTAATAGGTATCATGTTTTCTACTATTGAGCATGATACTGTGTGAAAAGGATCCAACCTGATGGTTGCCAGCTTCAATATGATTTGCCGTGGTCGTGTGAGTTTCACCGACTAGGTGGTCTCAGCAAGCCGCGGGCAGGAGCGTTTGTAGCAGACGAGACTATGGCCGTGTAGGTGCGAACAATGAGCCATCCAAATGGGTGCTAGTGGCGAGCCGTTCGTCTGGGTGCGAGTGACGAGCCGCCTGTGTAAGCGGTGGTAAGCAGAAAGTGTGGTGGCACTAGCAAGTCAGGGATGGCGTCGGGGCACAGGGTCAGACTGGGACGGTACAAAGAGTATTTTTGAAAAAAAAAATACACGGAATGTTTTATACTAAAAATATTGACATTTTAAAATTTAGGTTGGTCAAGGCCAGGGTTGGCCCTGTCCTAGCTACGCCCCTGTAGCCAGTGGCCGGTCAACATCCAATTGAGTTATACTCCATAAGTTATTAGTTTATGATTTATCCTTTTCACCATAGAAATACCTTCAGAGGCTTTGTGAGCGAATGAAGCGTGGGAATCATATTGGAGCATTGTGAGGAGTGCGATATAAAAAACTCGATTGTACCGTGTACATGGTACAACCGTTTCTACGATATAATTAATTGGTGCCCCTTCCCCCACCGGTAGAGTTGGAGAGCAAAAGAAAGAAAAAAGTGCATGACAAATCACAACACATATTATTAATAGCAATAATAATTATTTAGGATTAATATGTACAAATACGGAAATTAATTATTATTTCTTGAAATTTAAATAAGAGAAACAACAATGTACAAATTTAATAGCAATACAAATCTGTTTCAATTCATTTAGAATTAATATGTACCTTCCACTTTTCTAATTTTGTTTCCTACTTAATTTTCTTTCCTTCCGCCACTGCAACTCTTTTTCACCGATCTATTGCTTTAGTTGCTGCAAGGAGCTTAGAATCCTCAGATTATTACTATTTTCATTCTTCGCTCCCTTCATTATCACTCTAATTTATCTCAATCCGTTTGAATTTCTTTCACCTCCATTTCAGTTCATGAGATTTTGTTCTCTTTGGGTTTCCATTAATTCGACCATAGTTGCAACCTCATCACAGTACTCATGGAGTCATGGTAATATCTTGCAATCCGTGTTTCATTTTCCCCATTTCTGATGTAGGATATTTCGATAATATCCTCATCCTAACAGGTAATCAACTTTTTCACATGGTTCACATGGACTTAGTGCAGTTATGTCTATTTGAAAATATTTTACTTGGCATTTCCTATTCAATATGTTGAAAATATTTAAGAGTGAATTTCTTTATATGTCAAAAATCATATTAATCGCCAGCATGATATTATTACTATTTCGTGCGGCAAAAGGGGTAGATAGGTATGGAACCATTGAATTACACTCACTTATCAATTGGATTGAACCGACTCTCAAGGTATGAATTGTGAACTCGAGTGCTACTCTTGACATACTATCTTCTATGTAAATAAATATATATGCTATTGTGAGCAATATACCTTTCAAAAGTACATTTATGTGCTCCAGAGATCTTCACAAAAACATTCTTTTGAGTATTTTCATAGAAGAATTGGCATGTCAATGGCTTCAAAATGTTGGCTCTGTAAATCTCCTTCATTGGAAAGTATAGAGCTCGCTTCCTGTCAATGTGAGCTGGCTAGAAAAATTTGGAAGCAATTTACTAAATTCTTTAACAAGAAAGAAGAATTTGTTTATGCTAAGAATTATCCTGAAAACTGGCGGAAACCAACTATGTATATAATGAATTCCCGCGATCAAATGACTTTATGCTCCAAAGTGTACATGTTGTTATCATTTGTATAATATAGATCTACTGCTTTGCCATAATGTTTGATCAGAAGTCTATTGATATGAAAAACAATATTGTTGTTATTAAGGTGAAAGACAGGGCCCGCTTGACACATTACGAGACCCGGTGCGAATCACACAAATGAGGCCTTTTATTAAATAAAATGCATAGATCTAATGTGTAGACGTATAGTTTGCTTTTAATTGGAGTTGGGCCGTTCGGTGTATAAAGGTGTTTCAAAATCCAAATGGGATTCTATATATTAATAATTTAAAAAATTACTTTATAGAGTTAAACTAGATTTGATGAAAAACATGTCATAAAAAATTCATAAAAATAGTCAATCGGGAAGACACTGAAATGCCACCGTCCGGACAGCGGTTCTGGTCCGGAGTTCCGAACCTGAATATTTCTGGAGGCCCTGTGCAGTAGCCCAGCTTGCATAGCCTCATCTACGGCCCTGGTGAAAGATAATCAAGGTATTATGTCTGGTATAGGAAGTACTACTATGGAAAATTCTAAAAGTGAAGTTAGACATGGTAATTGCATATATAAGCAACCATGGACAAAGGTCTCCATGGACGTCTACATCGATCTGTACAACCTCAACAATCTAGGATAGGCCAAGGACTACATTTCTCTTGGTCTAACCCTAATCCCATCCCTATACTTCATCTTCTGGCTAATTTATTTCGGATTCACGACCTTATGGGAACAGGGATCTGTGCAGAGAATTCACCTGTCAATGGCAATATTTCTTATCACAAAAGTCGTGTATTACTCTTAGCGGCTGAGGACAAACATTACGCCAAGGTCACAAAATGTATTGCTCTACATTTTCCCGTTTATTTGTGTGGTTTTGTTCTTCGCTGTTATAATCTTGATAGGTACTCAGTGGACATTTCTGAAGCCATTTTTGCAGGAGAGGGAAAAGAAGGTATTGATGATTGTGATTCCTCTAGGTTCTGGCTAACATAGCATCAGTTGTGGTTGGTGAAATTGGCCCCTTTATCAGAGATTGGGTAACTTGGAATCAAGTGTTCTTGATCGTTGACATAGGTTTTTGCTATGAGATTTTCTTCCCCATCGTTTGGTCGATTAGGTAATTGAAAGAGACCTCAAAGACACGGCAAAGCAACCAAGAACTTGGCCAACATGACCCTTTTCAGGGAATTCTACACTGTTATGATTGGGTACCCGATTGGGTACCTTACTTTGCAAGGTTTTTAGTGTTTGCTTTACTTACCAATTACTACTTATAAGTACCAGTGAGTCGCAAATGCTACCACTACTTTGTTAAATCATCTACATGTAGTTTCTAATGTTACATTTTAATCTTCTTGGTGTTACCCTCTTCGCTCATTTATGCTAGCACTGGTCATTTTAATTTTCTTGGTGATACTTTAGTTTGTCAAAATGAGTGGAGAGAGTATATGTATTATTTCTCGTGCTGCACCATGTACAAGTATGATTTCTACAGCTGTAATATGAATTTAGCTTCAACAATCATCTGTTTTCTTGCTGCCACATGTTCGGTGCAAGTTAATGATGTTTTTTGGGTTTTAGATTATGGTAAGTTACTAAGTTTGACATCCTATGAACAATTTGAAATCACTTGATGTGAGATTTGATAATGAATAATATTTGACATTTCTTTGCGTGTGAAGTCCATCCTATGGGACTTTCCTTCTTTAGAATGAATTTTCTTAATCATCCATTATAGTTCCATTTTTTTCCTAACTTTTTCATGTGAATGAATGACTAGGACAATTAACTCCTACTAGCCATTAAATCCATTAGGGAAAAGGGGAAAAACACCCATGAAGTTGCCAACAAGGGATATCTATGCCCACAAATTTAATTTATGAGCAAAAATCTTTAAGAAACCTAAAAGGAGGGCAAAAAGCCCCTTTAACTAACACAAACAACTTATAAGAACATACAACCGTTAAAGTTGCTCACTTGCTATTATACAGGCCGTATATACGAACAAAGGGAAAAGGGGATCAATCAAAATTAATTTATCTTTATTTGAACAAATAAACTCTAGAATAACTCATTGCTTTGAGTTCCATAAAAAATCTCATTTTTATAATGTTTAATTTATAATGATGTTTTTACTTGGACTATTTTTAATCTCAGACCAGAATTAAACAAATTAGACCAGAACAGTTCAGACCAGACCATATCAGGTCAGACTTCTATAGTTATAAAATACACAAAGATCAGACGTTTATCAGACCAGACTTAAACAGACCAGACCAGACCAGACCAGCAAATTTCAGTCCAAGTAAAAACATCCTAAGTATTAAGAGTAGAAAGTTAATGTTTAGTCCTACTTAGGGAAGGTTTATTTTTTAATCCTATTTGTGCAATTATATGTAGGTTTAGTCATATTTAGGATAATTTCTCAATACAAAATACAAATATTTGTATGACATTAATATTACACGATTCATTTAGTTCTGACTTTTTAAAAAAAGAATTTTTTAAACAAGTTAAAAAAATTAAATTATTCTAAAATTAATACTCATATAAATTGCACCATTTCTCAGAACTTGCAACATCATACGAGTATTAAACTAATATAAATATTTTTTGGGGTGAGCACATGTGATGATTTGAGGACCAAAATCTTCCGGGGGGGTCTTGGGATCTCTTTTTTCTTAGAATATAGCACAAGCTAAAATTTAAAACAAATAATACTACGTATTAAACATAGTACACACCTTGTATTTGTTTTGTATACGGTGCCCCTATATAAGCAAATTTTCAATCTTAATGTTTAATTTATAAGCATGTTTTTACTTGGGCTATTTTCAATCTCAGACCAGACTTAAACAAATTAGACCATATTAGTTCAGACCAGACCAGATCAGACCAGACTTCTATAGTTATAAAATACATAGAGATCAGATGTTTACCAGACCAGACTTAAACAGACTAGACTAGACCAGCAAATTTCAGTCCAAGTAAATACATTCTAAGTATTAAGAGTAGAAAGTTAATGTTTAGTCCTATTTAGGGAAGGTTTATTTTTTAATCCTATTTGTGCAATTATGTGTAGGTTTAGTCATATTTAGGATAATTTCTCAATACAAAATAAAAATATTTGTATAACATTAATATTACACGATTCATTTAGTTCTGACTTTTTTAAAAAATAATTTTTTAAACAAGTTAAAAAATTAAATTGTTCTAAAATTAATACTCATATAAATTGCACCATTTGTTAGAACTTGCAACATTATACGAGTATTAAACTAAAATAAATATTTTTTGGGGTGAGCACATTTGATGATTTGAGGACCAAAATCTTCCGCAGGGTTCTTGGGATCTCTTTTTTCTTAGAATATATCACACAAACTAAAATTTAAAACAAATAATACTACGTATTAAACATATTACACACCCTGTATTTGTTTTATACACGGCGCCCCTATATAAGCGAGTTAGCCAACTGACCAAATTAAGGGTTGCATGTTCTGTTAACTTGATTCTGTTAGTTAAAGGGGGGTTTTGCCCTCTCTTCAAGTTTATAAAAGTTTTTTGCTCTGAAATTAAGTTTATGGGTGTAGATATCCCTTCCTGACAACTTCAGAGGTGTTTTTGCCCCTTTTCCCAATCCATCACTTACATATCCCCAACTAGCACCTATCACAACAAAAAAACAACCAGATGTCTCAATCCCAGCCAAAGCCTCGAACAACAAAGCCACAACTACTCAAATTAAAATAAAGAAGAATACCACCTGATGACATAAATACCAGCCCAATATGGTAAGCCCAATTGAATGCGGGCTGAGCCCGTAAGTGAGATGGACGAGATGAACAAGAACATCGGGCCCAAGGAAATACATGGTCATCATACTCGGGATGAGAAACATGGAGTCACATTTTCAAAGATATATGACGCACTGAGCATGACGTGATCTTATCTTTACAATGAGGCTTAGACGTGACATGTTGAGCACGACACACTATTACCTCGACAATGGGATTTGAATATGGCCTGCTGAGCATCACATGGTGAGCCTCAACGCGCGTGTTGCACAAGCGCTCAAGACCATCGCACATGCATGATGCTACTTCTCTAAGAAACCCTCCCCCTCGACCAAACACAAAAACACCCATAAAAAATGGTGAGAACAACTCGTGCCAACTCCAAGAATGTAGAGGACAGGAACCTGGCCCTCGGCGAGGTCGACGTCCCCGAAGCCTCCAACAGGGCTCCCGGGGGCGGCGTCATCGCCGGGTTGGACCAGACGGCTGTCGACCTGCGCCAGCAGATTCAACAAAATGCCCCCGATGCCCGCCTCGGCATCGAGGCCAAGAAGAAGGACCGGAGCGAAAATCAAATTAGCCCTTCGGTCATCACCATAGACGTACAATCGGCGCTCTCCGCCTTCATCCAGACGCTCACCCAGAACCCGGGTGCCTTCGGCACTTTGGTTCCCCTCCAACCTCAGGTGGGGGAGAATATTATGCCTCCCCCTCATCCACGACCCCTCGGCAACCCAGTCCTCCCAGGGGCCGTGGCCCAAGATACGGCCTCCCAGGAAGTCCAGTCCCAGGACCGCCACGACATGAACAAGGAACAGCTCCGGACCTCCGCCCTCGAGAGACTCGGAGGGGCGCAAGACCGCCGAGGGGTCCAAGACCGCCGAGGGGGGAAGGCGTTCCAAAGGCCTCAGGAAAGTGGCGGATCCGTCTCCAGGGCCAATGAAAGGTGTCCCATCCAGGACAAGGGCAAGGCACCTCTCCATGCCGACGACGCACGCCATCAAATCAACCAGGCCCACTCGGCCCGGGTCCATTCGCAGAGGGCGGAGGCCCTCTCGAAGGACCCCCGGGACGAAATCATTGCGGCCCTCTAGCGCCGGCTTGACGAGATGGAGGCCACCAAAGCCCACACCACCACTTCTGCCCCTCATACAGACCTCAAGTATGAGGCAATGATGGCCAAGATGGAAGAAATGCAGAAGAAAATAGCCGAGGGCTCCAGGGAACCCACCATACAGCTCCGGACCCGGACGCCGTTTACCCCAAGGTTATTGGCTGCCCGGATCCCAGAAAAATACCGAGGGCAGCTCATCAAGCCCTATGACGGAAAGACTGACCCCCAAGAACACTACAGCAGGTATCAAAACGGCATGATGATGGTGGGGGCATCGGATGAATATTTGTACCGCTGGTTCCTCTCCACCTTAGAGAGGCCGACGTACGAATGGTTCAACCGATTGCCCGAGGGCTGTATTGACTAATGGCAAGAACTCGCCCAGCGATTCTTGACGCAATTTGCGGGAAGGCGCCGCACGAGAAAACACTTCTCCCACTTGCTGACAGTGAGGCAGAAGAAGGAGGAGACCCTTCGGGACTTCCTGGAGCGCTGGAGGACTGAGGCTGATAAAGTTGACGGCGCTGACGACGGGACCCTCCTAGCCCTCCTCCAAACAGTACTCCGCCCCGGGAACTTCTCAAGGAGCCTCATCATCGAACCTCCCCACGATTATATAAGGGCCCTACAGCGGGGGGACCGGTACGCCGAGGCCGAGGAGGTGGAGAAATGCCACCATGTCCCAGACCAGCAACGCCCTCGGCCAGAAGACAAAGGTAACCGGGGGCCGAGGATTCCCCGCAATCATCCCAGGGAGTCTGCCCCCTCCGTTGATCGACCCCGGCACGGCCAAGCCAGGCCTGCGGGAGGCTACAAGGGGAACCTGAGGGCTTGGGCACATCCTGTCCTCCTGGAGCACCCTCGGACACCGTTGACGCATCCCGTCATCGTTATTCTTGATTTTGCTAAAGAAAGGGGCCTCGTGGAGCGAGATTCACGCGCGCCCTCGGAAGTATTTGCCATCAACCCAAACTACACCTACTGTCGTTTCCACCGACACCAGGGGCACAGAACCGATGATTGCCATCAGCTGAAGACGGCCATCAAGAAATTGATACAAGTGGGCCATTTGTCCCAGTTTGCCCAGAGCCCTCAGCAACAGGCCCCCCTCATCAAGGGCCATCCCGAGGGCAAACTGCGATAGGGAATGCATGGGTCAACCCCAACACCATCCCCCTCGGCAAGAAGAGGGAGATTGGAAATCTGGAGGAGGAGGAGGAGGAGTACCCCCTGTACAAAGAAAAGAAACGCCACATCCTCATGATTACGGGGGGAAATACCGGGGGTGACTCTACAAGCCAACGAAAGAAGTGGGCTCAATCACTTTACGTGGGGGAAGTCACTCATATGCCCCCGGTAAAACGGCTGAGGGAGGAACCCATCATCTTCACCAACACTGATCTCCCCCTAGTATCCTCCCCTCACAGGGATGCCATCGCCATCCGCACAGAGATCAACGACACCATTATTCACAGAACTTACATTGACACGGGCAGCTCCGTCAATGTAATGTACCTCAGCACCTTCAGAGAGCTGCATGTGGAGAGGGGGTCCCTTCGGCCCATCAAGACTCCTCTTGCCGGTTTTACCGGAGACACCATTGATTCCGAGGGGGTCATAACCGTCTCGGTCATCTTCGGCGACAGCCTCCATAGAGCCAAGCTCGAAGTGGAGTTCGTCGTCGTCAACATCGACTGCATCCACAACATCATCCTCGGCCGGCCAGCCCTCGAGGACCTCGAAGCCGTCATCTCCATGAGG